AATCAGTGTCAGTTCTCTCTCAAAGGCTCCTAGATAGGGGGAGAAAACAAATTTAGCCATCATTTCATAACAACCCTGGGTTATCTCCATTAGCTCAGGTGGGCACAACAGTATTGCAGACTGTCACACTATATTTTCTCCTTCCCACTCTGTTTGACCAGCCCTCACTCTTACAGGGTCTCACGCTCCTGACACAGTGGACAAACTAGCATAACACATTTTTAGCTTGGGTTTTATTATGGTTTATATGATAGGGAGCGAGGATTTACAAAGAGACCCGCATCATTCCAGCCCCACCCACAGTCTTCGTTAGCTTTTGCCTGTGCCTGGTGGGCACTTGGTCTCACCCTGAGGTATGTGGATGCCCCTTCTTGCTTCCACACCTACAGGATGCCTCCTCCATTCCCCTGGCTACCACATATTTCCTTTTCCGGTTCCACTCACTCTGCCTGTGGCTAGGCCCCACCCTCTTCCCAGAGTGCCCTGTGCTCACCTATAGCTCACAGTTTTTGGAGGAATGAGTGGTTTCTGGGCTACACAGACCAAGATTTGAAATCTTACATCTGAGCAGCACTTTCTGCTTAGAAACAAAAACATCAATGAAAAATAATTGTCTAAATAACCTTTTATATGGACTTAAGCCTAATTTCTGGGAAGTGTAATCCCTTGAACTCTTAAACTGATCATACTGATCACTTTAATCTTGGGTTATACTTTCCTTTGGGGTGTTTAAGACCATACAGTTGGCCCAAATAAACTAATTTATTTTTACTCTTCGGGTTGTTGGAGGATCTGTTACTCAGGGGTCACATGGGCTTGGGAAGAGTCCCTGGCTCCTTTCTTTTACCAGTTCCATCTATGTGAAGAGAAGTCAAAGGACCTGCTTGACTGTGGCTGGCTTCACTTGGAAGCATGGAGGAAATATTTCCTCTGAGTTGATCCTCTTCTTTGTAGACTGTGCACTGGTTCAAGTCCATCTGGTGGGGTCTCCCTGAACAAGAAGCCAGGTGACTCACCACAGTTACAGGACATTTTGAGAAATGCTCCATAGTCCTCTGAAACTTAGTCAACCTTGGAGGGCAAGGGGCAAAAACTGTCCTTTAAGTCCCTCTGACCACATTAGTGTAGGCCTCAAAGTATGGCTGCTAAACACCCAAGAAGGTTAGTACCACCCATCTGGTACTTTTAATTACCATGTGCTAAGTAGATAAAGCTTGGGCAAAAAACATCCTCAGATAAACCTTGACTAGACTTATATTTTGTTAGTTAAACTAGTTGACTAAACTATGACCTTAGAAATTTTTTTTTTATTAGAAGAAGCATTTCATTACAACAGCATTAACCTATTCAATAACATTTTTCTGAGCTAGGGTACATCTCTTTCAAAATTGGCTGTACATTTCTAGGTTTACAGATGAATTATTACGCTTGTACAGTCTTTTACTCATTATAAACTCTATAAGACATAAAATTAAATGAGGTTTTAACGTTTAAAAAAGATCTCCACTTCGTTGTTAAAATACACAGTTTCATACAGAAAAATACATTTTAATAATGTATATATTATTTTTGTCTCATCCTTTATATAACAAACTTACACAGACCCTCATCACTTGCTTACACTTTCTCAACTTTTCTATTTATTTTGCAAAATATCTCTATTCTCATATCCTTTTAACATCTTTTACATTCTCATTTTCTTTTTAATAAGTATGAGACATAATAACATTAACAAATAAATTTTCCATTGTGAGAATTCTTTTCCTGGGGATACTAAGCAATGCTTAGGCCCTTTTAAGGTTATAGTGTCAAACCAATGTATGATTAAATTTTTTCTGGGAAATTTACTGAGCTTACTTACAGCGATGACTATGGGTTGCTGAGGTGTATGAGTGACCTGGGGGTATACACACTGAAAAGCCTTTACCCAGAATGGATTAAGCCTTCTCTTCCTAGCCTTCCCCAGATTATATATTTTAATCCTCCCCAAATCCAGGAGACCATGTGTGATTAGGGCCAAATTATATACAGTTGGCTGGAAAGAGCTGCTGGATAATCAGGTGAGGGTCCACTGACCCTGCTTTCCCTCCTTTAATGAAAGAGCACAACCATCAACAAGCCCAATTGTGATGATATTTAGCAAGCAGGCACAGTTGAAGCTGTGATGATGGTAGTTACTTCACACAGGAGAGACTGCTGTACAAAACCATCTTATTAGAAGAACATAGAATTTAAAAGGATTTGGTGCTAGGATCCACAAATGAGGGCAAACATACATCTTTTTTCTGAGTCTGTGTTACTCCACTTAGTATAACAGTTTCTAGATCCATCCATTTACCTGCAAATTTCATTATTTCATCTTTCTTTACTGCTGAATAGAACTCCATTGTGTAAATATACCTCATTTTTGTGAACCACTCGTCAGTTGGGGGGCACTTAGGTTGCTGCCATCTCTTAGCTATTGTGAAAAGAGCAGCAAAAAACAAAGTTGTACAAGTGTCTCTGTAATAGGATGAGTCCTTTGGGTATATGCCTCATCATGAAATCCCAACGGACTCTGATAAGAACATTTGAAATTTGCCCTGTTCTTACTTTTCACTTTTTTTCTGGTTCCTTATCTAGAACTTGTAATACTAACTATTCTTGCCTTTACTTCTCCTTTACATCCACTATTCACCAGTCAAGGACTTTCTCTTCTCCCTACAGATAAGAGTTATGCAATTTGGGAGTCTTTTAGATAGACCCACTGAAGGGGTACTCCAGTTGCCTCACCCTGCATCCCTGTTCAGCATGGAAAAAACCAGAGTGGTGAGCATCCCGATTCCCTATCGATAATTTGAGTAACCTCTTCAGAGGATGGTGTTATTAGAATAGGAGGTAGGAATTGGCTAGTCAGTTAGGGTGAAAAGACTCCAAAGAAAAGTATACAGTTTCTTGGCTAAAACTCACAATGTCCTTGGGCATCTTAGCAACATACACTGTTCCAAAGGCCAAAAATGTCAAAAGTATTTGGGAGCTTTTATCTAATTCCTAAAAGATTTTAGGGTTGCCTCTTCAGAAGAGGGAATGTTAGAGTAGCAAAAAGCCTCATAAGGGGAGAGAGAGAGAGAGAGAGAGAGAGAGAGAGAGAGAGAGAGAGAGAGAGAGAGAAAGTCAGAAAAAAGTACTGGGGAGATATGGAAGGTGTTGGAGGGGAGGGAGTGGCATGAATTCGATGAAAACACCTTATATGCATGCATGAAATTCTCAATAAAGTTTTTTTAAAAATCACAGCCCTATATAGGAAAATTCAAATGGATGACTCAAATAGACCCAGCCTATTTTTTTTTAGACTATTTCATACTCATTTGGGAAAGTCAGCAAGACCTGCCTGTTTAGATTCTTCTTTGTCTCTCTATAGAGCATATTTCCTCCCAGGTATGAGACAGGACCCCTCCTGAAACAGAGTCATATGACCAACTGTCAGACAAAGTAGGTCAGAGAGTTTGTGACTGACTCTAAAACAGCACAGACAGAGATATATTACAGGTTTTATGACTTGCCTGATGGAAGGCAGCTTCGGTTCTATGACCCATCTCAAGAACAGAAAGTTTAGTTATTATTGCATTCGGTGGAGGAAGCACAGGGAAGGTGGGAAGACAGAAGTATAAGAGAAGTTAAGAAAGGGTCTCAGTATATCGTTCAGGCGGTCCTGGAACTCACTATGTAGTTCAAACTGACCTAGACCTAGCAATCCTCTTTCCTCCACCTCCATAGTAATGGGCCCACAGGAGTCTGCCACCATAGCCCAGCAAGAATTTTGCTTCTCGGCCCTTTACTTTGGGTATGAGTTCCTGACCTCAACAAAGGAAAACTCAAAGCTAAGTTCAGAAAGATTCAACAGGCTGTAAATGATTGACGTTATCTTACAGGCCACATGTTCTTTAATGGTAAAGGGAAAGAACAGACTTCTAATGATTGTGGCATTGATAGCAGTAAGCCATAAATGTTCCCGAACTGGGAAGCTATGATCACCATATGCCTCACAACAAAAACCGCATATGTACCATATGACATACAAAATCAGTGACATAACAAAGTGTCTTTACCCTCACAACAGAGTCAGTGTTGAACCCAAGTCAATGTGTTACTTCATACTGCTCCATCAGACACTAATTCAACAAAAACATTGTCTCATTTTACAGGTAGAAAAATTGAAGCACGGGGAAGGTAAATGACTCCTCGGGATCATGTGATAAAATGAATGAATTCTTAATGAGAAATCAATTACATTCCACAGATTTTTGTCTTGAATTCTTGATGGGTTAAGACCCTCTGTTATGTCACTGGTTTTTGTATGCTGCATGGTGCATATGTTCATATGTGGGTTTTGCATGTTGGTGCTGCTATTTGGAAAGTTATGCAACATTTACCATTTTTAATTACTTTAAATGTACAATTCAGTGGTGTTATATACATTCTGATCACTGTGCAGCAGTGATCCATCACAACTGTCTTCTACCCCATCATCCAATAACTCCCCAGTCCCTTATCTCTTAGATTCCCAGCAATCACTTCTGAGTGTTACTTTCTATCAGAAAGAATCCTTGACTTTGGAGTTAGTTTACAATAAAAAATGTAATTATAGCCGGGCACGCTGGCACACCCCTGTAGTCCCAGCACTTGGCAGGCAGAGGCAGGCAGATCTCTGTGAGTACAAGGCCAGCCTGGTCTACATAGGGAGTTCCAGGAAAGGGGGGGGTGCAGGGAGCCCCTGTTTAAAAAAAAAAAAAAAAAAAAAAAAAAAAAAAAAAAAATGTAATTATATACAAAAAGGAAGGGATGTGAAAAAGAGAAAAAATTGTTCCTGGTCCTTCCACCCTGTGAACTCTGTGACCATGCTGTGTATGTCTTTAAAAGATTCTCCACCCCGAGCCCCGCCTCCTTACAGTCTGCCGCTGGTTTTTTTCTGTCCCCAAGTTTCTTCAGCCTCCAAGAGCCACTAGCAGGGCTAATTTCCTTTGTAGTTTCAGAAGCAGGTTTGTTACCATGGAATCCACACTGTGACTGGAGTTGAGGAGTAGAAAGGTAACCAGTAAAGATCTGGTTGAAAGATAGGCTCTTCTCCTGGAAAAGCCTGACTGGTAGCATTCATTTAAGGGCTCAGCCCTGAAGTGCTTGATCTCATCCCTTCAGTTACTTGAAACTGAAGCTCCAGGAGACCTCTGAAGGAGAACCGGCCAGGCTCCAACCCTTCCCACAAATGGCTAATCCTGGAGGTGGTGCTGTTTGCAATGGGACTCTTCACAATCAGAAGGCACAGAGCAATGACTTTCAAAGTGGAAACTGTGTTAAGAATGGCATCGTAAAGGAAGCCCAGGTAAGATGCGCTCCTACATCCTTAATCTGAATGCCCCAAACGTTTCAAAACTTCTTTGCAAAACTGCTTAAGGCAGTTCTACCCGAAACAAAGTTTCTCTCATGAAGTGTTTTATTTGTTTTGACTTTGCATTTCAGTTAATATTTTGGTATGCATGGCTATTATTAGATGTAGGTAAGGGAGAATTTCTTCTCTAGACAAGAGAGGGCACCTACAGATTTATACAGCCTTAGAGTCGCTAAAATACAGACTTACTTCCTAAACTTTTCATTTACTCTCAAGCATCTGGGGGGGGGGAAAGCTTTGATAGAGCAAACTCTTCAGGTAAATATCAATGTATTGACAGACCTGCTACACTCAAAGCTTAATGGAAAAAGAGGAAGCGAAAGTAAGTCTTGTTGGATTAAGTGGTAGACCACACTCCCTCATATCCAGGAAGTAGCTCCCTAGCAGAAAGATGAGTTCTTTTTGGTGTTTAACAGAGCGTTGCCATGCCTCACAATGTGATTTGAGGGCAAAGGCTCTGAAAGTTGGCATCACAATGTCCCTTTTCCCAAACATTTCAACAAGGGCCGCTTATCATGAGAGCTCTGCAACTGACACCAAAGCAGCATCTTTAAAACACACTTGTAATTTATTTTTCATTTCACACTTTTTTCCTGGTTTTGCTCCTACTGTTGTAGGGCGTGTACTGAGGAAGAGGAACTCAGGAAAGCATTCAAGAGTGTCCTGAGTCTGTGAGGTTCTTGAACAAGGCCAGTTGTCCCCTTTACATTCTGTGCCAGTTTACTCTTCTCTGAATAGCAGGGTGAGCTAACCTGCCTTAGGGACAAAATTAAGCAGGCAGACAAGCAATCTCACTTTTAGGAAATGTGAACTTGTGCATAAAATCCTATGCAGTCTTCCACTCACTCACTCACCCCAGGGAACCCACATTAGCCAGGGAAAGGTGTCAAGCTCCCAGGGTAGAGGGGTCTGGCTGTGTCCTAGTTGGGAGATGCAGAGGGGACTAGAGAACCAGGCTTATATGGTAAAATGTATGTCCCCAAAATATATCCCTCTTTTAACAAAGGCATTAGCATCTACCAGAAAGCTCAGGCTTAACCTGAGTGCCTGAAAGCTGGAGAAGTGTGGGGACAAAAGTGCATGAGGGAACCCGTAACACTAGCCACCATGATTTGTCATTAAATACCTATTCAGATAGTTTCTCAAGGTGCCCCTTTCCATGAAGGTAACCTCTGTTTATCATGTAGGTCATTCTGATTCTCAGGGTTCTTATCTGAGCATAGATTCATTCAAAAATACTTTTCTCTTTATTTACTTTATCTTATAGAATGCAGGTTTTATAACTACATTCTAGTGTTTGAGATCAGAAAGGTAAATAGACAGTGACAGCCATTCCTGTGTAAGGGTTGAAATCTAAAGAGGTGTAAGTGTGCCTGCAAGACCATAATAGCCTTAGTTATGGCAGCTTCTTTAGGAGAAGCTAAAAATATCACTGCTGTATTGCTTTTCCTGACAGTTCCTGGTGAGCCATCCAAAACCTGATGGCTAAGATATATTTAGGTGTTTCTAAGTTGAAATTGGCTTCCACTGAGAGCCTCAGTTATAGCTTAATAAATGTTTTCCAGAAATAATAAAGTGTTGAGATCATAGCAGAATGACGCTAACAAGGACCTATTTTCTCTCTCTACGGTATGAATAAAGTTATCTTTGCTATCACGGTCCTTGGGCACAAGTTTTACCATACAGGCCTTTCAGAAAAGTAGGTCTTGACCAACACCCTTACCTATTGGCAAAAGCAACCCATAAAAGCTTGTAGATGTCTGAGGACAGTGGTCTTCTAAACACTGCCAGGCCTAAGGTCTTAGGACACAGCATTGAAAACCCTACCAAGTTCTCTAGAGATCCTTTCAGCTTTAACTTTCTGCTATTTGCACTCACACACAAGTACAGCTACCTTTTACATATTGGGGGACTCTGTAAGATTCTGTTACTAAAAAGCTTCCCAGCCTAACAAAAAAAGTCAACACTGTTAGGCAGTTCTTGTGAATCTCCTTCCCTTCATCCCAATATACCCTAGCTTGAACACTGTGACTCCAGCATGTGGCCTAACTACCCCAACCACAACACTGGCAAATAGCCAGGACTTTGCATTCTTGAAATAATATAGAGTTTCTTTCTGGAACTTTGATTGACCTTAGTCATATTGCCCTTTCTCCCTTTAAATCTCATGTGCCCCGATGATGAACTGAAACTTTCATCACAGATTAGGTCCATTTTTTGTTGTACTTCTAATATACCCATCTTTTATGCCTACTGGAAGACCATTGTCCAAAAGAATTTATCTTTCCTTCTCGTGAGCATAACCACATGAAATACAGAGGGCTCTTAACGCCTTTAGTCTGGAAATGTGACATAATTTTCTATGACTCTAAGCAGACTGCAAAGTTTCAAATTTTGCTTCTTGACTTTATTTTGCTTCCACGACTCACTGTCAGTCAGATTAAAAAAAAAAAAAGGCCAATATTATCCATGCTGTTGCCTGATTTATTGTTTTGAAATTCATTCCTCCAAAAGGAACTATTTCATCCTGTTTAAAATCTCAGGGCATACACATATTGCAGACAAGTTCTGTGGCAAGATTGGTCCCTAGGAGAGCAGAGATGGGAGATGGGGAAGGATCTCTGAGAGGTGAGACTAATGGTGTATCCTTAGGTTAGCTGGAGTCATGATTACAGAAGGAATTTGGGAAGCTCAGTCTCACTCTGACTTCCTGTCTAGTAACATGATCCCTTCTTCTCCCATACATTCCCACAATTAAGATGTCATTTACCACAAGGTTCTTATCAGATCTGAGCCGATACTGGTGCTGTGTTCTTGGGCATCCAGAATTGTTATCTACATAAATCTTTCATCTTTATAAAAGCATCTAGTTCAAAACATTTTGTTATAGTAATTGGAAACTGACCAAAACATAAACTAGTACTGAGAAGGGATTTCATAATTATAACTATGCTGGCAAATGTGGAAGGAGACAGCTTTACAATTTGGTAATAGGCTGTGTTAGAAGAGTTTGAAGGAGCAAACTAGAAAAGCCTATGATACTGTAATTAGAGTGTTATGGATGATTCTGATGAGACAAGGATACCAGAGAATTAATCTCAGATGGACATGGGGATCCCCCTGGAAACTGGAGATCCAGAGCACAAGAAGGAGAAATAGACTATGCAACTTAACAGAGAGAAATGTGAAGTCATAATGCAAAGGAACTGAGGGATTAGAGGGATTGCTGTCACCATCTTCGGAAAGAGTCCGTCACAATTGAGATGTATAGACTATGCTTGAGGTTCACGTGACCATAATCTAGTCACTGTGGAAGACTAGATTATGCTACTAAGCAACATAAACAAAGCTTACCCACTGAATTTAGCAAAGAAAGGGAATGTGTGAAGTTTGATATCATGGCAATGTTTTCTCACTTTTGCCCTCAAGCAACATGAATGAGCAGAAACCATGAAAGGATTAACAATTTTTAATATAAGTAATTTAAAACTTATGGCACAAGGCGTCATAAAAGATACTGAATAAAAATCAGTTATAAAATATAATGTCAGGGGAAAAATCCTTTACAATAGCACCGGAATAAAAAGGACATGGGAATAGATTTGAAAGAAGAGTAAAAGTTAACCTAAATGTAGTAGTAAAATGGTACTGAGGGAAATGAAAGAGAACGGGGCTGTGAAGAAATCCAATAATGTTGATAGAAAGGAGAAGATAAAACTCTGCCAGTTTTGCCCATGATAATCTATAGCTTTCGTGAGAATTCCATTAACTGAAATATCTCTTAAGCCAGACTAATGACTTTAAAACCATGTAGAAAATTAGTAAGGAAAAATAAATGGAAGTTACTTTAAAGATAATAATCCAGAGTAACACTATCAACATGTTATGCTGTGATAAAAATATAGAATTTTATATTACAGGTGAACAGACAGAAAATAGTGCATGTAATTGTTAAAATCAATCATACAATTAATAAGAAACATAGATTTTTTAAAACAATATTTAGAATCTTTCTAACTATAGCATAATACCCAAGATCCATAAAAGAGGTTGAAAGTTTGTCAGCATAAAAACAAAATTTCTTTTTGCATTACAAAAACAATAAACACTGCCCCATACAATAGTCAAAGGGAAAATTGCAGGCCAGGAAAATGCTTATAATTCACATCGTAAAATGAAAATTTCTAAATATATAATGACATTTAGAAAACAATATAGAAAAAAAGTCAAAAGCCAGAAACAGTGATGGAAAAAAAATGATTTATAAAAGAAGCACAAATGGAAATAAATATAAAGTTAAACAGGGAGAGAGAGAGAGAGAGTCAGAATCACAGGCAAATAGAAATCCATATTCTAGATCGTTAGTGTCCATAAGAGACAAAATAAAATTGAAATTTGGTTTTAATAATTTAGTTATTTAGATCAATACAATACTAATGGTAAAACTCATAAACGAAAGTGCCGGCCATTTGACCTAATTTGCCTCCTGTGATTTGAGTGTAACGTCAAATGGATATTTGTTTCCACTTCTGTATCTGTAAGGAAACTGAGGATGCAAGTAAATTCTCCAAGGTCACACAGCTAGAAAGAAACTAGGGCACAAACCCCATAATTCAACGTTTTCGAGTCCCCAGAACTGTGGAGGGGCCTTTGGTATTATCTGCCCTTTGTTAAAAAGACCTAGAGACCATTGTTTTAAGGACTGCATATGCCAGTCACTAGACATATAAATAATATGGAAAAAAGACTGTACTCTCATTATAAGCACAGTATCCATGAACATCCCTTTCTAGTGTGCATCGTTCTGTAGTTAAAAGTGTTGCAAGGTGACAAAGAAAATAATTATAATACTCTCTATCACTATTGAGCTCTTTCAAAGTACCAGTCATTTTAAATATTTCATATTCATTGTCACACCGCATTCCTATTAGTTA